TGTGTCTAACTCTTGCTCAACTCTAGGTCTCCATCGTCATGTCCTTGGAGAAACTTTCACTGACTTCTCACTCAAAATCGTACCTCCTGTTCCTCTTTTTCATCCCACCTTTTAACTTGCCATTAAGAGCACTGACTTCAACACGCAAACATATAGTTGTTGATGTGATTATTTGTTGACTGCACGTTCATCCCACAACTCCACTGTTCATTTTCTGTATCCCGTGTTTGCCAGGCAGGGGATGGTATTTGGAGGGACAATTCTTCCTTGTATATACGGTGTATTAGTCAGGTGATGCCATGATGACCACACTTAGCAAACAACTCCAAATCTCAGTGCTCAGAACAAACATTGATATCCTGCTCACAGGGCTGGCTGGATTGAGCTGGGCTGGGGTTTCAGGTCCCCTCCCTTCTCTCATGTCTGTTTCTCAGTCAGAGGCCCAGGCCAGGGGAGCAGCAGCTGCCTGGGTAGGTTCTCATGATGGATGGAATGACCATAAGAGAGTGATGGAAACACAGAAGAGTTCTTAGCACCGCAGCCCAAACTGACACAATCCCATAGCTTCCCACATTCCTCTGGCCAAAGCAATTCTTATGACCCAAAGTCAATGCAGGAGCCTTGACATCCGTAACAGCTGGGTGCTAAATGTTGATAATACTTCCCAGTTACTGTGAAAACTCCAAATGCCCCCTTGGATGCTGAATCACTCCTGCCACCCTCACTGAAATTGCTTCTCAGTGCCTGACACACAGTAGGCACTCGATGCATATTTGGCGAAAAATTAACTTTGCCAAATCACCCTCTAGAACCTTCATAAAAACTTACTTATTGACTAGGGAGTGCAATGGCGGTTTAATGTCCTTTAAACAGTAATTATTACTTTCATGCAAAGGTACCTCATTTTAATTTTTTAATTATTTAATGAGAATTTTTTTCATATGTTCAGTGACCATTTCTTTTAGAAATTCTCTCTTCAAGTCTTTTGTCCAATTTTTTTTCTTTCGCTCACTTTTGTATTAAATTTTTCTTTCTCATTTGTAAGAACTCTTGTCACAGGTAATGAATATTTTTCCAGTTTGCCTTTCAAATGTTTTACTGATTTTCTGACAGGACAGGCAGACATTGTTCCTATTTACCTAGCTTCATCTCACCCTTTTCTTGCATGGCTTGCTGCAGTAAACATTTTTACTGGCAACATCCTGTCACACAAAATGGACACATTAAAATGTATTTAACCACTCCCTTTCATGGGCTATTGACATGGTTTCCAGGTTTTTCTCTCACAAATAACATTGTGATGGAGATCTTTGTACATAAGCCCTAAAAGTGGCAGCATCACATCCAAGGATACTTTTTAAGTTCTTTTTTTTTTTTTTTAAGATTTTATTTATTTATTTGAGAGGGAGAGAATGAGAGACAGAGAGCATGAGAGGGAAGAGGGTCAGAGGGAGAAGCAGACTCCCTGCTGAGCAGGGAGCCCGGTGCGGGACTCGATCCCGGGACTCCAGGATCATGACCTGAGCCGAAGGCAGTCGCTTAACCAACTGAGCCACCCAGGCGCCCCTACTTTTTAAGTTCTTGATACATTTTGCCAAATGACTCCTGAGACTCTACCCTCCAGGACCCACACTCCAGCTCCTCGTACTACAGGTGCTGACGTGCCAGGCCCTGCTGATGAAGCCTTTACCAGCCAGCCTTGTCTGGTGGCAAGCAAGGTGAGAGAAGAAACAGTGGGTCTGGAGCGGGGGCAGAGGTTGTCCAGAACATCCCAGATGTTCCTTCTGCCTGGAATGCTTTTCTCTGAGCTCTTTTCATGTGCCTTCTTGAGACTTAGATCTCCCCTCGAAAGGTGCCTGAGAGTCCTATCCTCATCCCTCCATCTGGAAGAGTCTTGGGCTCCAGCTATTCCCTATCATATTTTTCACTGTTTTTTTTTTTTTCCTGAAGAGCACTAATCTAGCCAATATTATCTTATTAAGTGGCATGTTTCATTTCTGGCAGTAACTATCTTGTCTGGCTTGCTGACTACAATTTCTCCAGCACCAGGAACTATTCCCTGGCACAGGGAAGAGTGGGGCTCAAATTGGCTGCTCATCGGAATCACCTGTGAAATTTTAAACATTTCAAATTTTAAAAATCTTGCCCCCCCAAAATAAGAAATTTTTAATTATTAAATCACTTTACCAAGAAAATGTGAGATCTCATTTTCTACGGGAGATACAGAATGCATGTGTGTGTGTGTGTGTGTGTGTGTGTGTGTGCGTGCTGGGTCGTGTCCAGAAGCAGAGGAGGTTTAGGTTTGCTTGCACGGCCCGGGCCTTCATTTTTTACTATAGAAATGTGATATGCTAAATATAGGATGGTGTGTTGTAATACTTTACTGCTTGAGAATAGATTAGCATATGATTAAAAATTTTCAGAAAGAACTCATTTAACTTAAAGACTCTTAGCTCATTTATGGATCTTAAATTCTGTGTGCCACCGTGATCTATAAAGAAACTTCTGAAGTCACTGTTCACTACTGTGCTGCATGTAAAACAATACACGCCAAGGGAAAAAAATTCCCATATTTATGTCTCTCCCCAGACCAATTAAAGCAGAATCTCTGGGAGTAGAATCCAGACTTTGGTAGCTTTTAAAACTGCTCACATGATTCCAATGTGCAGCAAGTTTGAGAGCCACTGACATAGAAGTAATATTTGTTGGATGAATGAACGTTTGATAGATGAATAAAAGGACATCATGAATCAGAAATTTGGGGCTCTGGTCTCAACACAGCCACTAACATGCTATGTGACCTAAACTGTGTCACTCTACTTCCCTAAACACACACTAGATGCCTTTAAGATCCCTTCCTTCTTTAAGACTTCATATACTCCTTCTTGGTCACAGCAAGAGCCAAGTTGGAAGGGCTGGGAGAAATGAGAACAAAATGATTGAGGCTTTCTAGAAAACTTCACTTAGGATAAAGGTAATCCTAACAGGAAGCTCTTTACTATGGCACCCCCTTTTTTTTTACCCAAAAAGGGAAACTATTTGTGAGGTTCCTGAGAATCTTGCACTTAGAAAAACATCACACAGCTCTGTACTGAATGTGCAAAGGAGAGAGAGAATGATCCCTAATCCCCAAAGATCCCACTAGGGTGACAAAATGTGTGTATGGGTACCCTGAGCCAGTGGAGAGGGACAGAGATGCATTTATTCCAAAGTCCTCACAAACCTCCTTCTCTGACATTGTCTGTTCAAGGTCTTCTCCAAAGCTGCACTGGGGCTCTGCTCTCAAACACAGGAAGCCCAAGCTTTCTTGACTGCTGCCATGGCCGTTTTGCTGGGATCTTTCAGGAAAAAAAAAAACAAAAAAAAGGCATGCTCCCAACCCAACTCTGCTACTGTCACCTCACACAGGCTGTAAAACTGGGAAAGTTAGCTGCTCATGTTTATTTAAACATTGCAAAGGCATTTACAACCGGGAACTTGCGTGTGGCCTACCTGAGTTTTATTATTCTCCAGACCCTATTCTCTGAACTACTTTATATAGAGCTATTTAGGCTTGCCTGCTATGTGAGATTTTGCTATCTGTCCCCAGGCATCAATACTTTCTAGTCATTCAACAGTGGCCACAAATTACCCTCCATTCCCTCTCATCCTATACCACCTCAGGGAAGGGCGATTTTAAAATTACAAAAATAAATACATTTGGGAAGTTGAGAATGGGTGCCTTAAAAATTGAGATTCATTGGCTTCCCAATGGGTGAGTTCAAGATGTCACATAACTCTGCTAAGAGAGTTCCCATTTCAACACCTTAATTTCCTTATTCAATTTTCTCAAATTTGGGCTGCCTGGCACACAGTTTTGTTAGCAGTATTAGCAAACTGCATTTAAGAAGGAAATGGCAGTTCTTAGGGCCTTTGAGACCACATGGGTATTGGGTCAGGACAAACTCCAGGAAAAGTACCAAAAAGCCCAAAGAATTCCTTCAAGGACAAACATTTACTGAGTATCTACTTACTATGCTAGGTATGCAGAGAGGAAACACACACACACACACACCTCTTGATCTCTAGGAGCTCAGAGCTTCACATTCCCCACTCCCCCATCCCCCCCCCCAACACACAGAGGGAACGATTTCTTATACAGCAAATTTTCATGTCACCTCTTTCTTCATCGCTAAAACGAAATAAATAAATTTTAAAAAGCTGGAGAAGCCCCTATGAAGCAAGTGAGGGTTTGGAGGGGGTCTTGTGGCCCGGGAGACAACCCTTTTAAAATATAACTGCCATCCATCTTCTGGGACAGACAAGGGGTGCATCTTGTAAGCGACGTAGCAGCTAAAATGACGTCAAAACCGAGCTGCACTCTCAGAGATGACCTTTTCCTAAGAAACACTCAGAGCTAGGGATGTTGGGGGAAGGGGGATATTATCCCAAACCAGGTTTCCTGGGAAACAAGACGCACTGGCTGGAACACTGTGGAAGCAGCGGGCGTGCAGCCTTTCTCGGGGGCTCCGTTCCCTGGTCCGGATATACAGCGAGAAGTTTGCCCAAGTGCGCGTGAAGCAGAGAACACCCCGATTCAGCTAGAACCGGGCCGGGGTCTGGAATTCCCAAACGCATTCATGCTGGAATTCCAACACCAGAGCGAGGGGGCTTCCGAAGTCCGGCTCACGGAGCTGACAGCAACCCCACTTGGGGCATCCGATGCCTGTGAAACGCCGAAAGGGAGCCAAAATGCAAAATTTCCCCGAGATGAAGGAATCGCCCCTTTTGTAAAGCACCTCGGAGAACACTGCGGAGCTCTGGAGAGAGGCTCCGCGAACACCGGCCGGAGAGCCCAGCGGGACACTAGCTCCCACTTCCCCAGCCGACCAGCCTTGCCCCGGGCTGCTCTCACGCAGGCGCAGTTGCGCCGCGCTCGCGTCCCAGCGCGCATGCTCCGCCGGGCCGCCGAGCTCCCGGCCGGCGGCGGCGGCAGCGGCTGCGGGGGCGACGGCGGGCCGCCGAGCTCCCGGCCGGCGGCGGCGGCAGCGGCTGCGGAGGAAGTTTCCGCTTTGCCTCCACCCCGGTAGCAGCTTCGCGGCCGGGGACAGCTTCCTCCGGACGCTTCGCGAGCTTTGCCGCCGCCGCACGTCTGTCAAGGGACCATGGGGTTGCCCAAGGGGCCGGAGGGCCAGGGTCTCCCGGAGGTAAGGACCTCCCTCTCCCTGACACGTCCGGGTTCTTGGGAGAGGGCCGAGCCCGCGGGGCGGCGGGCAGAGCGGGGCTCGGGCAACGTTTGGGGCGCCCCGCCCCCTTCTCAGGTGTGTCCCCCGCGGGGAGAGCTGGCCCTGTGCGCCGGGGACCGAGCAGGTCCCCCTGCCTGGGCGGGGGCGGGGACAAACTTCAGCCGCTCTCGGGTCCCCCGGGACGGAGGTGGTCTTTGAGCCCAATACCTAGCCCCACGCAGCCCCAGACGCCGCGGGGCCCGGGGTCCCACTTCTCCCAGGCAGTGTCCCCCGACTCCTAGCGCCGCAGGGCTCCCTCGAAACCCGGGGCTGCTGCGCCCTGGGAGTCACGAGACGCGTGCTAGGACGGTCCGGGCTCGGGTTGTGCAAAGGGCGGTGACCTTGTGGCGCCTGCTGCCGCCTCGAGGGGCGGCGGGGTCCCGACGGCCCGCCCCACTCGCCTCGGTGCGTGCAGGGAATGCACGCCAGACCCTTGTAGCAGCAGGAAGTTTGGGAACCGTGCACGCATTGGCTTGTGTGCTGGAGGCTACGCGCTGTCCGGTGGGGCTGTGTGGCCCGGCAGAGCGCCTGGCGGAAGCATTGCTGCTTCCCCAGAACGTAGCGGGTGCCTTTCCTTACAGAGGTGTTTATTAAATACTCACTGGATCCTGAGGGATAGGATAATCAGTGGTTTCCGGATTTCTACATTGGCTAGGAATAAAGGGAACGTGCATTTCCTTTTGGCTGCAAGTGTCATATAGCTAGGTGGTTTGCAGGTGTCTTCTCTTCCAGTCGATTTACTCCAAAGCTAAGTCTAGAGTACTAGATTCTGGAAAGAAATGGAACCCACACTGCACCTCTACCCCCCTCCTAAAGTTCTGAAGCAGGCATTTGGCAGGAGGACTGATACCTTGACATGCTGAGTGGTTCCTTCGCTTTCAACTGCCTGTCATCCCATCCACCCCACCCCCTGCCAATCCTCAATTTTTTCATCCCACAAGTATCCAGTAATTGAGGGATCACTGTTCTGTGCATAAAGGCTGGGGATATAGTGATGGAAGGACAGACTTATCTGTCAGTGTATGCTCCCAGAATGTAAGTCCATTTTGTTGTAACCTTAGGAAAACCTAAGAAATGTCATGTTGTCAGAACCCTTGTATTAGGTAAAACCTTACATGCAAATTACATCGATGGAATGGGGGATTGTGAAGACAGAACTGTATCCTGGTATTTGATATTTCTTTTCTTGGTCACTTGTTTATTTTACGCTCTCATCAAGTTTTTGCCTGTCCTTTTGCTACAGACTCCTGTCTGGCCTCTCAGGTTTCACCTTAAATCCCTCCAATTCAGTATCCCACAGTACTATAAATGGGGGGGGGGGGAGTCTTTTTTTTTAAAAGATTTTATTTATTTATTTGACAGAGAGAGACAGCAAGAGAGGGAACACAAGCAGGGGGAGTGGGAGAGGAAGAAGCAGGCTTCCCGCTGAGTAGGGAGCCCTGATGGATCCCAGGACTCTGGGATCATGACCTGAGCTGAAAGCAGAGGCTTAATGACTGAGCCACCCAGCTGCCCCAATGGGGGGTTCTTTCTAAAGTAAAAAACAACATGATCCTCTGAGTCCTTCATTTAACCCTTCTCTGACTGCCAGGAGGCTGGGTCTGATTTGTCACTTTTCTAGGAACCTAAGGCAGTTCTTGGCAATTAGGAGGCATACAGGATAGATATAGTTAAATTACTATCATTTAGTTCAAAGACCAGTACATATGACTATGGATAGTCTGTGTCATTAAGCTGTCACTAATCCAGTTAATTCCTTAAATTCAATTTTTTAAACCCTTTACTGTATGTCTGTGAAGGATAGGAAGATAGCTAGAATTGGCCCTGCCTTCCAGCTTCCGTGAACTACAGTACAGAGCAAATGAAAATTTAGCGTGCCTGGCTTAAGAGCTCACAGTCTTTCATCTTTATCAGAATTTTAGTTTTTTAACAATGGATGTATTAACCAATCTGATGGCTTTTTATACCCTCAAGAGAGGGTATTCTTTCAGTCACTCTGTGTTAGCCAGTGGCCCTTTCTCATTTTGTTTCAGTATTAATCTGTGAAGTGAATGTGGAGTCTTATTAACATTCTCCATTCAGTGTCTTGCACCAAGAAGTTATTTCACAGGTTATATTGCAAAAGTGTACATACTTCTCCATTCTGGGGGTGAGTGGATAAAAAAACATGGGCCATGCATCTGCCTTGGGGTTGGCCAGTGGGTGTTCATTAGGTACAAGGCAAAGCAGGAATGATCCTCCTGGGATGAAATGTCCTCTTCTTGGAAGTGTTTTCATGATAAGTGATGATTGAACAAATGAAGTTTCCTGTTTTACATCCTAGGAGTTTAAAGAAAATACTTATATCATCCCATTTTTCTCTTCTGCCCCATCTTTGTGAATGAACCATATTGCTCTTTACCTTCTCATTTCTTTGAGTCTCCCCACTTAGAGATGTTGCTTAACTATACCACATCTTTTGCAAAGGAAGAGAAGGTGTAAATAATTAATATCACTTTATTTTTCATGTCCCCTAAGAACCAGGGAATACTTTGATAGGCTGGACCAAGGTGATTTGAGAGAGGAGTAAAACAGGCTGTCACCTGTACCACCTCCTATTGCAAGAGATTGTCAATCACTTTAATAATTCTTTGTTCAACTGTTTGTTAATCTGTAAGCTCCCTCTCCTGGCATTTGTACTTCAAAATAAACTTGAATTTCCATTATCAGTGTCATGACTATGAAAACATTTTGTTAATCCATGACTGGCATAGGTCATGCACTTTATGTGATGATTGAACATGTCATTCCATATTTAATTGTCCTTTGAGCCTAATGCTACTTCAGAAGAGGTGTTAAACATGACTGAATGATATATGGGTTTTCCTGATCCAGCTAATAGCCCATTTCAAAAGACAGGCATATATATTAACACCAGACATTTTACTCAGAAGAGGTTGCAACTTAATTGTATGAATGGCAAGAACTATAAATAAAATAGAAATGCAGAGGAGTGACCATTTCAGGCTGCATTTGTCAGGGTTGGCATCAAATAGGAGCTAGAATTTGAAGCTGGTTTCTGGGTGGCTAGAGAATATCAGAAGGGAAGGGGTGTGAACAGTGAAGAAAGGGGAATGAGCCATGCTTGAGGTTGGCCATAACCATAACTGGATTGTTTTGGAGGGAGGTAAAGGATGAAGCTGAAAAGATAGGTTGCAGCCAAAGATCTGAATGCCAAACCAAAAACTTTGGAGTTTACCTTACAGACAGTGTATGATGTGTTAATGATAAGGACTGGGGGATGAGCTAAAGAGGGAGGATGTGAAAGCTGTGATTTAGGAAGGAGTGAGGAAAACAGATTACTAGAAGAAAGATTGAGAGGCTATTGCAATAGTCCTGGCATGAAGAGTAACTAAAAGGGAAGAGGGTAAATGTGACATGTATAAAGGAAGAGTTCACAGGCATTGTTGGGTGAGGGATAGTTAGAGGTGGGTACAAGAATTTGAGCCAGCTACACATTGGCCGTGTTTTATATAGAGAACTGGTTTTTTATGTTCTGCAGTAACGAAAGAAAGGAAAGGTACCGTTCATGAAAGTAGATGGAGGCAAAAGTATTAGAATATTTCAGTTGTTTTTAAGTTGTAGATCAACACCTGGGAGTGAAGGTAAGATACAACTTAACTTTTTAAAATTAGATCCCTATTCATACATTAGATGAATTTATTATTTTTAAGGCAATCCCATTATGTGGCAGTAATCATCCTTCAGTGTATCTAGGTTGAAAGCCCTCCTTGTATTTGCTTTAGAGATCCAAAAGAGAAGTGCAGAGAAAGATACATACTTGAACTCCCTTCTTTGTTCTTGCCCTGTTTGTCAGTAGCTTCTGAGACCAAGATGTGCATAAAGTTTAAAACAACAACAACAACAAAAAAACCTTCTTTTTGTCTGTAAGGAGTTTATAATTTAGTCGGGAACCTGTCAAGTAAACAGTGTGTTAGAGAATAGGGAGGTAATGTGCTGTAATCTTCCTATCCCTGGATTCCTTCAGCACCAGATGAATAATCTGTACTACCTGTGTATGTCTTCTCCTACTACGTCTGACGATTAACACAGCTCATTGAGGCCTGAGGACGCTGTTCTTTATGGCAGCCCTGTGTCCCCGCGCTCCTGCATGAACAGTGAGACAGCCAATGTCACCTGCTCCTTAGCTGTTAAATTGTGGCATCAGGGGATACACCCGGTGTTCCTTTATTTAAGTTAGCTTTTACCAGCCTAACTTTTAACTTTTGTTTTAGGTAGAAACAAGAGAAGATGAAGAACAAAATGTCAAGCTGACTGAAATTCTGGAGCTTTTGGTTGCAGCTGGGTATTTCAGGGCAAGAATTAAAGGCTTATCACCTTTTGACAAGGTAGGGGGAAACCTTTCTAACCATTAGGCTGTGTTTTGTTGGGACGGAATGGTTTACCAGGGCAGAGAAAAGAGGGAGGGATTGTGTTTTTACTTTCTCCAGTGTCCATGTTTCTCTGTGATTCAGGTTTGTTACTAGAAATGTTCCAATTTCCTATTACAAGAAAATAAAAATGTATCAGTAGATATGCCTTGAATTCCTTTTCTGTATACAGAGCTTTGGGAAGTACAAAAAAGCATTAGAAATAGTTCTTCCTTTTAAGGAACTTACAGTTTGAGTGGAGAGATAAAAGTTATGTAAGATAAAATCTGAGTTAATAAGGAGCTGTCCCAAGTCAGTGTGCTCACAATTGCCACATATTCTAATGATGGTGAATTTTGAATTTGGAGGAAAGAGAAGTCACTATGGGATAAAGTCTGTTAATTCAGCAGAACCTTCGAGAATCATGCACAAGGCATAGTAATAAGTGTTGAGGGCACAGAGATCAGACCAAGGCCCTGTACTCAAAGAGCCCAGCTTCTATAGAATAGGGAAGGAAGACAAGTAAAGCAACATACATAGAATCAGTGTCACGATGCAGTAAGTGCAGCAGAAATGAAGCTTCCAGATCAGACAGAGCAGGCCAGGAAATCTTCCCAGTGGAAGAAAGTGTTGAGTGCTCCAGTGGGCCATGGCCTGGCTTTGCATAACAATCACTGTGGACTATTTTATAATACAGATGTTGAGGGCTCACCGTTTGATAGTTTGGTTAGATCTAGACTGGGGCCTGGAATCTGTATTTTATAGGCATCTCACATGTGTCTAAACACAGCCAGAGATCAGAGTCCCCATCAAGCTATATCTGAAAAGGATTTTGTTTCAGGGTGGTTTTTTAACCTCGGTCTCATTTGCATCTCTGAGAAGTCCTCTGAGAAAAGTAGAGCAGGGATTCTCCTCTCCTTTAGATACATGAAAAAAACAAGATGTGTGGAAATTCAGTAATGAGCCACAAATGTCAGCCTTGCTACTAACCTGTCTGATCTGCAAAACACATAATGCCTCTGGAATCTGGCACTTACCCGAAACTGGATTAAGACTTCTCCTGGCTGAGAATTAATGTCCATCCCCCTCAGTATAAAGAGGATCTGTGAATGATATGTCCATTTCATAATATAAGTCAGCTACTCGGTCACACTAGCCACATTTCAAGCGTTCAGTAGCTGTATGTGTATTGGACAGTATGGACACAGAACATTTCCATCGCTGCAGAAGTTTTATTCAGTGGTGCTATTTTAGATGAATTGTAGTTGATGGAGTCAGAAGGACACATGTACGCTCTCTCTAAAGATACATACTTTGTATGGTCATTGATTCTATAAAAACTTATATTTTTTTCTCCCTTCCATTTCTTCCCCTCTCCCCAAACTAGAATGAGAAAACAGATATTTTCTTTGTGTCTTGCAGGTAGTAGGAGGAATGACTTGGTGCATTACCACTTGCAGCTTTGACATAGACGTTGATTTGCTTTTTCAGGAAAACTCCACAATAGGACAAAAAATGTAAGTTATCAGAGTTTGCCACGGAAGAGCCTAAAGGGGAGAAGGGAGCTGACTTCTGAGAGTCTACTATGTGTCAGAAGTTGTGCTAGATGCTTCACATACTTCATTTTAATTTTCATTGCAACAGGTATTATCACAGTTTTATAGATTATGAAATGGAGGTTGATAGAAGCCACGGTCACACAGCTAGCCTATAAGTCCTTTAATGCTCAGACTGTTTCTAACACTTTCTCTCTTTTTTCTAGTTTCTTTGAAAGATTATCGTCACATAACATTGTATTAATTTAAGGTGTACAGCATAATGATTTGGTATATGTATTGCAAAATGATCACCACAGTAAGTTTAGTTAGCATCCATCACCTCATATAGTTATAAATGTTTTTTCTTGTGATGTGAACTTTTTCTTATCACAACTTTATATGAACTTTCTTATCACGACTTTTTCTTGTGATATGAACATCTACTCTCTTGGCAACTTTCAAATATACAGTACAGTATTGTTAACTCGAGGCTCCTTGCTGTACATCGCATCCCCAGGACGTATCTATCTTATAACTGCAAGTACCTTTTGTACTTTTTGTCTCCCTTCACCCGTTTCCCTCACCCCCCACCCTTCACCTCTGGCAACCACCAGTCTGTTCTCTATTTCTATGAATTCAGTCATTTTGGACTCCATATACACATGAAATCATACAGTATTTGTTTTTCTCTGACTTCTTTCACTTCGCATAATGCCCTCAAGGTCCATCCATGTTGCTGCATATGGCAGGATTTCCTTTTTTCTTCTATGGCTGAATAATGTTCCGGGGTGTGTGTGTGTGTGTGTGTTTACACACACACCACATCTTCTTTATCCATTCATCCATGGATGGACACTTAGGTTGTTTCCATGGTTGGCTATTGTAAATAATGCTGCATTGAATGTGGGGTGCAGATATCTCTTCAAGATACTGATTTCATTTTCTTCTGTTAAATACTCAGAAGTGAAATTGCTGGGTCATATGGTAGTTCTATGATTTTTAAAATTTTTAATTTTTTAGTAACATCCATACTGTTTTCCATAGCAGCTGCAGCAATTTACAGTCTCACCAGCAGTGGACAAAGGTTCCCTTTTCTCTGTAGCCTTGCCAGTGTTAGTTATCTTCTTAGTTAGTCTTTTTTGAGTTTAGCCATTCTAACAGGTGTGAGGTAATATCTCATTGTGGTTTTGATTTGCATTTTCCCGATGATGAGTGATGTTCAGCAGCTCTAATACTTTTTCTAATACTCTCTAAGAATTTCCAGTGACTGCTTTGTTTATCTCTTTCCAAAGGCAGCTGGAAGGAACGTATTTGATGGAAGTTGAATAGAGTGAGGAGAGAATCTTTCCTTCCCCATTGCCTCTGTGTAATGCAGAGCCTCACTTTGCCTGCCATCGAGAGAAGGCAGCATGGACTCCTTGCTAGAGGTTTCACCTGAGTGTAGCCTGCGCAGTCTTCCATAGCTCACCAGGGGCTTGGGGATTTCATTAGACCACTAGGGGTCCCCAGTTCTGCCCAGCCCTGCCAGTGGGCAGCTGTGTGACCTTGGACAAGCCTCAGTTCCCTTATCTGTCAGGAGAGGGATTTGTGATTTCAGATCTGTGTGCATCTGTGACTTATTTAATCATTTTTCTGAAGCTTTATTCTCCCCCAGGAAAAAACTCTTCCAAATGGATTAAAGGTGGCTTACAAATATGCGTATGAAGCTGTGATAGAGAAAAGTCGAAGCAAAGCAAAAGGAAAACAAATCAAGTTGGGGATAAGGCTACAGCATTTGTCATGGGCCACAGCATGCCTGGTTTTCCTAAGGGTGGGCCACAGATTTGGTTCTAAGCTTTCTGGCAGCCAACAACAAGAGAAAAACATGATAAATTACCCAAGTCACAGTTTCCATACAGAAGAAAAGTCGGTGATTCCATGCAGAATCACCAAAATTCTTATAATAATAAGACCAAAGGACATCTCTGGGCTGCTCATTAAAGGACATATTGTTCTCTGTGACACTGTGCTCATCAGTGCCCAGCCATGAATAGCAGAGCTCTACATCTGTAGCATCTGTCATTCTGGGACCGGGGCATCGCAGCCAGTGACCTGTTGTGAAAAGTCCTTTACTGGGAATCTGCGGGATAGAATCTAGGCATGTGGCTCTGCTCTCTGCTGGCTGGGCTAATCCAGACATAGATTTTTATTCTTGTGTGTTTGTTACTTTGTTTTTATTGTGTAGGTGCTACATCCATGAAGTAAAAAAAAAAAAAAATTGAAATACTGCCGAAGGGTACAAAATACACAGCTAATGTCTCTCCCAGTACCCTGGTTTTATTCCCTGGAAAGAATCATCTTTGCCTGTTTAGGTTTTAGATTTTTCAGAGCTCACTTCCACATCTCTAACTTTGTATGTTTCATTCAGATCTGATAAGAGGAGGAATTTAGCTCACCTGTACTACTCCCTACATCCCCTTTGTCTCCCATCTTCCAGTCTTGTAATTATTATCTGTTTTTCTAGGATCACTTGAATAGCTTTAACCTATATAAGCTTCTGTTTCTTGACTCATTTTCATAAGATGGTTTTTCCTGGTTCCTAGCTATGTATATAAATGTTTTGCTATCTGTTTTTCCTTCTTACTTTCAGCCTCCATTTACCATCATATCATTACTCTTACAATGTTCAGGGCATAATATTTATAGTTGGTTTTCTATAATAGCAATTAAATTGTCCATGCTTTATCTACAGGTAGATTCTAAAAGTAAATCTATAAACAGTGTTTACAATAAGAACTAAGAATTGTGATGGCGCCAGAGAAAAAGAAATGTAATCTTCTGGACCATAATGGTGCTGTTTGATGGAGAATATTCAAAATATTGCAGTCAAAAGGAATCCTTATTTATTCATTGACTCACCAAACATTTATTGAGTCCCTGCTTTGGGTCAGGCATTGTTCTGGGTACTTTGGATATGTTAATGAAAAATGTCCTGCCCTCACAGAGCTTAGAGTCTTTGCAGGGGGGAGATAGACCATAAACAACTAATTTAATAAATAATTATATATAGAAGTAATACGTGCTATGGAAAAAAAAATTACAGCTGGGAAGGTATATGAAAAGGGACATGGTTTGGAGGCAGTTGTTAACTTTAAGTCAGCATGGCCTCATTGAGAAGGTGATATGGGAGCTAAGACTTGAGAAAAGAGGGTTCCAAGCAAGGGAGACTCTGAGTGTGAAGGCTCCAAGCAGAAGCTTGCCTAGAGTATAGTGAGGTGGGGGGAGGGGGAGAAGGGCAATGGAAAAGGTGCAGACAGGTTGTGGGGGCCAGATCAGGTAGAGCTTTGTAGGTCAGAGTAAAGACTTTGAGTTTAGTCCAAGTGAGATGGGAAATTCTTGAAGGGTTTTGAGCAGAGGAAGAACATAATCTGTTCATAATTGGTTTTAGAAGGAACCATCTGATTACTGACTAAGGGGGTGAAGTTGGTAGCAGGGAGATTTTTTAGCATACTGTAGCCAGGCTCACGGGAGAAGATGGTGGCCAGGACAGTGGGCTGGCAGTGGAGGGATTCTGGATCTGCTTTGAAGGTAGAAACAACAGGATGTCATGACAGATTGGATTTGGGTGTGAATAACAGGGGAGTCAAGATGGTTCTGAGGTGTTTGGCCTGAGCAAGTGGAGGTGGTCTCTACGAAAAGTCACTGAAAATCAGGCACACTGTAATTTGTCCCATAATTATACAGCTTATTTTCCTTGAGTTTCTGATGGCCTTTTTTTTTCTTTTTGACAAAGAAGCACATAGCCTTACCTGTAGCTAAGATCAGCCAGATTCTTAGTCTGTTTTTTAACATAAATTCACCATCTTCTCGAGGACACTCTTGATTGAAGCCTCTTTCTGTTTCAGCTTAAGTGATTGCTTTTGATACCTGCGGCACCCCTGATTTGCTGGGATTTCTTTCAGTTGCATTCTTTCTGCACCAATCTTACCATTTCCTAGATTCTATCTGTCCCTTCTTCCTAAATTCCCTTGGTGTTTTACAGTGGTTCTTAGCCCGTTTTTCACCTTGGTGTCCTTGGGGGTTATGATACTTTCCCATCAGTGACAGTACTCTTAATAGATACTGGAGTACAGTGTTTTTATACAAATTCTTAATCTGAAATCTGAAAAACAATGAAAACAGGCTTTTTCTTTCTAAGTGTGGATACAAAACTCATTTGGGAACAAAACATGACCTGAACTTTTTAAAGGCTATTTATAGTTTATACTGATCCCACTTAGGTGAACATTCATAAGTTTTGCTGCAGAAATAATAATTTCTTCAAGTATAGATTTCACTTGGGCTCTACATAATATACAGTATATATGATTTACTCTAGATTTCACTTGGGCTCTACATAATATACAGTGTATATGATTTACTCT